ACCTATGAACAGTAATGAAAAGGTTTACTTCGACTTTCACAAAATATGAGGAGCTGTTAAAAATAGACACTTTGTTTAGTATAAGATAATTAAGATAAATAAGGATAATTCAAGATGTATAACATGCAAAGCTGCTCTTGAAGAATATTCTTGAGAATAAAAACATGGGAGATGAACATAAGAGATCCTACTTGAAGGAATGTCAATTAAAAATGATCAGTGACACAACTGTACCAGCTCTGAGCAGCTTACCTTTTCTGTCCCATTGACTTTATACCAGGTCCAGGTTCTGGGCTCTGGTTTGGTTTCCTCCATTTTACAATAAATCACCACAAAGTCCCCCAGATAGCTGACTATCGGCTTGTCTCGCACCTCACTGATCTGTGGAGCTGGAGGAAAACGACTGAGCTGATGATGCTTATGAAGACATAGCAGCACTGCACAGCCTCAGTCGAGTGTTATATATTGATATTCACTATAAATAGCTTGAGCAGGGACTTGAAGAGCTGATAGCAAAACAAATGAAGCTGTGAAATGTCTTGCAGAGATTCATTGTTTATTTCCTTACCTGCCAAAATAAAATCTATTTGTGCTTCAGTCCCAAAAACACAGGAGTAACTTCCAAGGTCTTGTTCACTGACAATATGGAAACTGTAAAGCAGAAGTCAAAGAGGGGTTTTAGATATTAACATAATAAATCAAATGCTCCTGTCCTCCAACTATCTGATTATTTTAACTAAACTGTTGCCCTACTTTCATGTAAAGATAGTTCCGGCTGACATGGACAGGCATGAGCTGACACTGCATTTCTATTTAAAACCTTTTATATATTCAGGTCTTTTGATAAAACGTTGTAACAGTTTTTGAGCCACTCGGAGGGGAACTGCAAAGTGGATTTTCTAAAGCTGTCAGATAAAATATGCACATGAAGTACTTACTCTTGTTTGAGAGTATACTGCTCATTCTCCAGCTGCACAGAGCGCTCACTGTCCTGAATCGTCTTCCCATCTTTTGTCCAATAAACACTAATGTTTGGTAGTTTCTTCTGATTCCCAGTCCACGTACAGGCTAGCGTTAGATTTACAGGCTCATGCAGCTGGATTTCCTCTGTGTGATTTTCACCTGTGTGGAGTTTTGTGGAACAGTTAGAAACACACACACACACACACACACACACACACACACTGGCAGTATGTGGGCGTGACTTTATAAGACAGTGAGCTGCTGTCAGAAACGCAGTTTGTTCTCTGAAGTCGTGGCAGTAGAGCAAACTGCTGCAGAAGCGCGCACAGACCGCAGACTCATCAGATAACAGCGCCTCGTTTTTTCTCGTCCTTATCTC